TGGAGGCGTCTATGGACAATGTTGGCTCTTCAGCTTAGAAACGGAGGTGAGCACCAACCCCTAGAGTCGGACACAACTGGACTTAATGTCAAGGGGAAAACCTTTACCTAACCTAAGCTTTGGAAACTCCATTAGCTTCTTCATCTGGGCAAGATGTTTAAAATGATACAGGAGAAGACCAGCCATCACAACTTGACTCTTCAAAGTGTTTTGGACTTCCCAAAAGACCTTGTCAGCTTGGCCAACAGTCAGGAAAGCTAGCAAATGAAGTCCCAAACATCTGGTGGAACAAAGTTAGGGAACCTCTGGTCTAAAGGGGTATCAATTCAAACAAAGGGCACTCCTGTTGTTGACCATATTGGTGACTGGAGAAGAAGAGTAATGAGTCTGGAGATTCAGTCACATATCTGCCATATTCAATATGTTTTGGCCTCTACTAAATGAAGTGTTTTTCACCCCTTTAGAGCTATTATGTGAATTGGAGTTGTTATGTATTATGCATTTTTTATTGATACTCCATATAAGCATCCACATTGGAGCACATCTTCCATATGCTCCAGTCTAGTGAACACTCTGGAAGCATAAAAAGACCAAATTTTATATTGTTACATTAAATGTACAGCACACATTTGTGTGGGAACATTTCACCCAATTACCAATTTAATGCTGCAGTTTTTGTTCCCATGAAATCCATACTTTTAAGTCTAAGGTCCCTTCTACACTGCCATATAAAATCCAAATTACCTGTGTTGAACTGAATTATATGGCAGTGTAGACTATATAATCCAGTTCAAAGCAGATAATGTGGATTATCTACTTTGATAATATGGATTATATGGCAGTGTAGAAGGGGCCTTTATATGCTGTAAGATGTATAATGCCTTACATGAAATATAACATCAACTGATAAGCTATGGGCTGAGACTATGGAAAAGTTCTATTTTCAAAGCCACCACCCAGTCTTTGAAGCTGCAAGGCCATTAAATGCTAATCAAGGTGACCAATTGCAACATTCACACCTGCCTCAAGCATATACTGTAAGAGTTTTTTCTTCCACTCTGGACATTATTCCACAGAGATATAAACCCCACTTTCCTAGTTTCCAACAGACCCCTCAACCTCTGTGGGTGAAACGTCAGGAGAGAACGCTTGTGGAACATGGCCATACACCCTGGAAAACTCACAGCAACCCAAAAGTCTGTTTTCTTGCCAAAGGAGAATGTTTGTCTGTGTATTTATTATTTTTGTCCATCTTAATAAAATAGCCAAAAAGTTCAATAAATAGACAGCCTGCTCATTCTCCCATTTAAAGACATTGTGATTCCAAGACTTAAGAGTGCTCAATGGGAGTAATAATGCTAACTCTGCCTGTTTGGACGATACAATTGAACGTTATTTGAGAGCCAAATAATGTTCAACTATTTGACATTTACAGATTAATGGATAGATGGCAAAGAAACCTCAGGGCCCTTCCAGGCAGGCCCTATATCCCAGGATCTGATCCCAGGTTTTCTGCTTTAAACTGGATTATATGAGACTGCACTGCCAGATATTCTGGGATAAACAGAAAACCTGGTATCAGTTCTGTTGGAACAAGTAAGAAATCAGTTGGTTAGTACATTCACTGTAAAATGCAAAGCAAGAAGCTGATTGGCTGGGCCATGCCTGGGGAGCTAGCTGATCCTGGGAGTTTTGGCAACAGTTACATTTTTAGGCTTGAGCTGTGCAGGAGCTCTAAGAGAGAAAGACACTTCAGTGTTCTTGCTTCATGAGCTGCTGGAAGGAGATTTTCCACATGGACACCTAAAGACCATTTTGAATCTCTCTCAAAAGGACATTGTGTGAGTCAATGCAACTGTTCACATGATTGTATATATTGCTCTGCATTACAAAGAGTAAACTACTTGTTTTTTACTGATCATCTGCATGGCATATTTTCTTTCGCTAGCAAGGCAGTGTGTGGACTGATAAAAATATGAACTATGTGTGTTTTTTATTACACCACAAGATCCTGGGATATAGGGCCTGTCTGGAAAGGCCCTCAGTCCTTCATTCTATATAGGTGGGTGGGGATGCCATGCCTGGGCCCTTCCACACAGCCATATAACCCAGAATATCAAGGTAGATAATCCACAATGTCTGCATTGAGCTGGATTATCTGGGTCCACACTGCCATAAAATCCAGTTCAATGTGGATTCTCTACAGCTGTGTGGAAGGGGGTCCTGTTTCAAGAGTATAACTATATACTTATGGAGTTATATGGGAGTTATGCAATGCCAATGTTGTGCAATCAGATGTGCATATGCATGGGCAATGCTCAGCAATGCACATGTGTACAATGCACATCCATGATTAAATGCACAATGATTGATGTGCAATATGTCACACACAAAGGGGTGAATTATGGAGGTTGGTTATCAAACAATAGGTAGTGTTTCATTATCTAGGTAGATAATGCTCACATAATGGGTGTTATTTTCCTCCTCCTGTGTTGCTGTTGTGGAAACAACCCTCATTTATTATATGGGAATTGGAGAGGAGCACGATTACCCCCCCCCCGGCAAAAAAATAAAATGGACTATCCTTCCCTGTCTAGCACACCCTTTTTGGCCTCTGCCCGGATAATGGAGCAGTCCCCAAAATTGTCCAGTTGGTTCACTGTGATAATTTGCGTAAGCATAAAAGGGTTTCCCATTGGATCATAGAATCTCATTGACCAAAGCCCAAATTGTAGAGGAAAGTGGGTTAAGCTATATTACATAAAGACATCCTGACACACCAAGGACACCCATTTTAAAGATTTCAGCAGACCTAATCACATGAGCAAAGTCCCATGTGTTGGATCAAGCTGCAATGGCCACATTTCAAAAATGAATTTCAGTTTTCCATGCCTAAAAGCCCGACTGCCCTTGGTTCCTTCATGAAATACATTAGCAACAAGAATGGCATGGATGCAAATTTGCTGGAAGGAAAACAGCTTAAGTTTGGAAACCACATTCCTCTCTGTTTTGCTGCCAGAATGTATATACAAAACCATAGCAAGCAACCCTTGAGAGCATCATCTAGTTTGTTAGAGCTATTTCGTTTTTGCTTTTTTCTTCTTCTTTTTTTTTTTGAGGTGGAGGATGAAAGTTCCCTGGGCACAAATTAATTGATTCTATTGCAAAATTATTCTACTGACAGACTTCTCTGAGGCTGGATCTACATTATATGGTCATTGTAGACCATATAATACAGTACAATGCAGTTAAACAGAATTATATGGGTCTATATACTGGCCACATAATGCAGTTCGAAACTGCATTATGTAGTCAGTGTAGATCCAGCCAGAGTCTTGACCATTAAAAGCCAGCTCAAATAGACACAACTGTGCATAAAAATGGAATGAAGGGATGGGGAGACATAAATACACTTCAGCAATGACACATCTGTTCATAAGCGAGACAGAAATAATAATAATAGTAATAATAATAATAATAATAATAATAATAAACAACCAGTAAAGGTGGTCCCAGTGGTGATTGGTACACTGGGTGCAGTGCCTAAAGACCTTGGCCTGCACTTAAAAACCATCGGCACTGCAAAAGGCCACCCCACTCAGATCTGCATGCATTATTTGCCGATACATCACACAGTCCTAGACACTTGGGAAGTGTCCGATGTGTTATCGAATACAAAAGTCAGCATAGTGATTTTGTTTGCTCTGTACTAATCTTGTTGTGTATCTAACAACAAGAACAACAATAAGCAACCAGTAAAGGTGGCCCCAGTGGTGATTGGTACACTGGGTGCAGTGCCTAAAGACCTTGGCCTGCACTTAAAAACCATCGGCACTGCAAAAGGCCACCCTACTCAGATCTGCATGTATTATTTGCCAATACATTACACAGTCCTAGACACTTGGGAAGTGTCCGACACATTATCGAATACAAAAGTCAGCACAGTGTATCTAATAATAACAATAACAATATCAATAATAATAATATCTCACTTTCCTCCCTTAAAGGAGACTCAAAGCAGTTAGGACCCTTGGTCAGGAATTGCCCCTTGATGGGAAATGGAGGGAAAGATTGAGTTGGACCTATCTTCTTACTATTGTCAGCTTCTCATGTGAAGTACAGAAAATGTAAATGCTGAAAAATCAGTGTAAATATCATTTTAAACATACAGCCTAACTTGAAACCTCATGGAATAAAATATTTAACATTTGGTGCAGATGTCCAATTTTAAGAACAGCTCTTAACCAATCTCTTTGAAAGTTGAGTGAGTGAAAATTGCTCATTGATTAATTTCGTAATACTTTAATGAAAAATGTAAGCTCTCCCCTTGAAGAGTCTGATGTAAAGTTTGCATGATTAGCAAAATGATTTCTTTTCCTTTGCATTTTTCCTGCTGTCTAGTTCTCAACAGGGAAGTCTAAAGCTGAATCTTACCCCTTCTTGGCCCCTTGCATTTGCTTCAGGTTTTCTCTCTAACTCAGAAATATTTGAAAAGACAACAGAGAGAAACATGGCATGTGCATTGTGCTAAAACTAAACTGGAGCTGATCCGCAACAGGCCTTGGAAGAATGCGGATAACATCCATCCATAATGATCTAGTGGGTTGAATTGGAGAATGCAAACACACATAGAGTTTAAATACTCGCTTTCTGCCAATCTTGAGGCAATGGGGTTGTACATGTGGCTTTTTCTGCAAACCCAGCTCTGTAAAAAAAATGCTCACAAAAGCAGTTCTGAAAAATTAATGGAATTCCTCCCATTCCTCCTAAAAGCAAAAATATTGGACCAAGCACAAATTTGCAGAGTGAAACACCAGTTTCCTACAATAAAAAGCATGCAATTTCAGGCAGTTAATGTACAAATAAATCAGTGTAGCAAAACAGTTTCATTGCTGCCAATTTGCAAGCACAAACAGATTATTTGAGGAGTATAGGCAATGTTGGTGCCAGCTTTATCTTCCTTTGATGAACCAGCCCCAAAGCAATATTTGATAACTCACCAAGACTTGTCCAGTTGGAACTCCCATTCCAGAAATGCCCGCCAAAATGAAGGCCATCATTCCATTGTTTCCAATGCTACAACTCCCTTCCTCAAGGCAGCTGGAAAAAAGGAAGAGAGAGAAACCATACTGCAACACTGATGATGATTCCTGGGGCGTTTGTATTATATTTCCTTGCTTGTTTCGAATGACAGAAAAAAAGTATTCCAAAATCCAGGGTATCCACAGATGTTTTCTGGAGTTTCAAAGTTTTGACTCACATCCATAAAAGTCCTGACTGGTGTGGAGGAGACACAAATACAATTAGGAAGGCAGCAGGAAGGAAAGTCTACCCATGTGAGCAGAAAAACTCCTAGGTTGGGGGCAGGGAAGAGAAGGCCACTCACTGGACACCCCTTGGGCTGATAGAAGAGATTTCAGGAAATCCAAACACTCAAACAGGAAATCTGAACGCTGGATAAACATTCCATAATCTCCACTGTTAACATGCAACCTCTCTGGTTAACCCTTTCCCTGCTCTGGGGCTGGACGTGAAACTCAACCAGACATGCTTTTGTGTAACTGGATCTCTCTAACGTTTCACAATGCGCTCGCCTGTGTCTCTAAGGCATGACACCAGTCAGGAAGCATTTCTTCCCCCAAGCATCTGGAAGGGGTTTCCCACTCCTCTATTGTTCTCCCACTTCTACCTGGCAAAGTCGTGGTTAAAAGAGTGACAATTTTTCTGTAGTTAATATTTTCCATTGGGCACGCAGGCTTGCAAGGCTGCTCCGATTTGCAGCAGGAAAAAGGAGCAGTGGATGATTTATTGGCTCTGTTGCGTTCACCTTGCTCCCTCCCCTCCCCAGTCAATGATTCCATTTTGCTCTGTTTCCATTTAATAATTCTCCCGCTCCCACCGTGGCTTCTCTTTGCAGGCTTTTGCATCTCATTTGCACAGCCTGAAATATTAATTTCAGAGGCTCGGTGGATGATTTATTTGATGATCATTGCGGCCCACTCTGTTGAATAAGAAGAGTCCCAGAAAGAAAACAGACACTATTTTAAAATGGGCATTATCCCCCCTCCCTCTTCTCTTTAAATATTCACTTCCTAAGGATTCAGAGAGAAAAACGTGAGCCTCATTTTTATCCTCCCAGCAACCTGATTAAGTTTGTGGGAAGCGACTGTTCCACAGGCATCTAGTGAGTTTCACAGCCACAAATCAAACTAGACATTATACCAGGAGATCTGCAGTCAGCCTCACATTAACTATATTTATTTGATGGAATACAGTCTAATCTACTCTCAAGCTCTACTTTATGTTGAGACATTCATGACTGTCCATCCAGCTTTTAAGAAATCCAGCTGTGAGGTGGGCTCTGTATGCAAATCGAAGGGCAATGTCTCAATTCTCCCTTCATGCTGTGATTTTTCTGATCTAACTGCTGCCCTATTAAATAGTTTTTCATTCTCTGGGGGAAATGCTCCAATACGCACATGAACATCTGACCTGTGCCGCCACCCCCTCCCCCCCCAATTCACAGCCCTAGGACCACAAATATAAAAGAGATCATGAAAATGTGACAATACAAAGATTTGAAAGCATTTCAGCAATTATAGGATCATAGGAAAGACTCATAGAATTGTACTTATTGGAAGGGGCCTCATAGGCCATGGAGTCCATCCACACTCCCAAATGCAGAAACTGCAGCTAGACTCTCTTCAACAGCTTTCAAATTAGCAGTTCTTTAACTTACTCCATCCAATTCTTTATTCAAAAACAGTTGGGACATTGCCAATTAATCTTTTGGTGCAATGTGTAGGAATGTGGTTTGTCAGCCTCAACAAGAATGCAAGAATGCAAGACAAGCTTTGCTGGATCATCCTCTCGATGCCAGCATCTACTTTTTACCATCCATCAAACAACCTTGAGAAACCCTCAGGGCTGGGCTACTATTGGGCAGAGCAAGGTGGGCTGTTTCAAGCATCATATTTTAGGAGACCTGAAAGGTGCTTGAGGCACTTTATGTTTCAGTGGCAAAAAAAAAAAAAAACAGCCCTAAAACAAAACAAAACAAAAGCTGCCTTTGGAAGTAACATGGTGGTGGCTGTTAGTGGTTTTCTTGTCAGTAAGACAATAAATCTGTTTTGGGTTTTAATCTAAATAGTATAAGGGAGCTATATTCAAGGTGCTGAACATATTGAGAGGGAGGATGGGGTTCAGCACTTTGGATAGCTCAATTCCCTCTGACATGTTAAAGTAACGCAGTTACTTTAGATTAGGGGTCCCCAAACTAAGGCCCTTGGGCCAAATACGGCCCGCCAAGATTATTTACCCAGCCCTTGCTCAGGGTCAACCTGAAATGACTTGAAAGCACACAGCAACAGCAACAGCAACAGCAACAACAACAACAACAACAACAACAACAATCCTCTCTCATCAGTCAAAAGCTGGCCCACACTTCCAACTGAAATACTAATAAGTTTATATTTGTTAAAATTGTTCTTCATTTTAATTATTATATTGTTTTAAAGTGTTTTTTGAACTACAGATAAGATATGTGCAGTGTGCATAGGAATTCATGTGTTTTTTCAAATTATAACCCGGCCCTCGGTTTATAAAGTTTGACGAGCCCTGCTTTAGATCAAGAGTTCTTTCTCCCACCCTGGACATTCCACAGATATATAAACATCACTTGCCTAGTTTCCAACAGACCTCACAACCTCTGAGGATGTCTGCCAGAGATGTGGGTGAAACATCAGGAGAGAATGCTTCTGGAACATGGCCATACAGCCTGGAAAACTCACAGCAACTTAACACAGTTGAATAGTTACCTACAAGTTTTTGTTAGCTAATGGGTCTACAACAAAATTACATTTCAAAAGCAACGTGGTGAGTGTAAACAGTAATATAAGTTTGGATGCACAGAATAATGTTTGCTAGTTAGCTTTGGGGCGGGAGGCTATATAATCAGAAATTATTGAATTCTTCACTTTACCTCCTAAGCAATTGATGGAGTTTGAAGGATGAGTGTACATGTTGATGGAACCCACCAGCTGTATTAACATAGCTCACCCTGTGGAATTTGATTTGGTGGAATCAAACCTGGATAAGCCAATGGGTCCTTATGAGAGCTTCTCTCTTGAAGCCTGTCATCTTCTAGGAGATGCAACTAATGCAAAGCCATTCCTCAGCAAAATAGGTGGATGTTGAAAAGGGATTGTTTTTACTTTTAGATGTCAAGGCAAACACACACAGAGAGAGAAATCCAATGCCTCTTGCAAAGGTTTGAACAGGAATTGCGTAACAATTCACCACCTGATGTGTCAAGGTCAAGCAGCCATAAATCTCTTGAATATAGCTGGATATGCTTCCTAATTCTATAACCAGAGTTTGACAAGTCATAGAGAAAGGAAGCACAACAAGATGGGAAAAACTAACTTGTGAGCAATATTTTGTCCCTGGTTTCCTGTTTAAGGCTAGAAAGCACTTGTGTGAGCACATCTACAGTCAAAATGAATTGTTTGAGGCAATTCATGACAGTTCCAGGGCTTACACAGGGTTACAAGTAGAGAGGTGGCCCCAGGCAGTCAGAGGCCATCATGAACAGAATTGAAAGCTAAGAAGGGAGTTGCCAGAGAGATTAGTCCAAAAGTATACACCAAAGGTTAGAGATCTACAAAGCTAGAGATGTCAGCCAATGTCATATGGAGGCTTTGGAGCTGTTGTCTGCAGCAACAGAAGGTCTGGGTTGAGTTAATTTATAGTCAGCAGCTATTTGGCCCAGCTGGCCTCATTATCGCAGTGTCCTATATTTAAAGCGGAGCAGGGCTGCTACCTGACCCTTTGTCCCCTGTGCTTTGATTTATGACTCATGATAGGATGAAGGGCCTCTGTCTCTTCCTCCTGATCTGTGGCTGCTGCCTGGGAAGGGGCAAGGTCTGCGTCTGTTGGTGCCGTGCTAGGATCACCAGTCTCTTCCAGCTCCATTTCAGTGTCATGTCAGGAAAACCTCCAGATAGGACAGGATCCTCGAGTTTTAGTCTGTGACCCTTGCAGCATTCTCCTCCTTTTCAGACCCAAGAACACTAAGAGACATATTTTTTTCCAGTTCCCAAACACCCATCCCAAAATGTGGTGGTCTGGGTTCCCTTGTCTTCCACTGCCTCCACCCATGAAACAGCACTGTTTTCCTCACAAAAGCTTGGACCGACAGTGATGTTACATCAGTTCTAGTTGTGCCAAGACTAACATTGAGGGATGGTGATGGAGGCAAAGGAGAGGAATGGCACCCATACACTTCAAAGGTGTGCACTCTTAAATTTTGAGAGCAAATAGATTTTTTAAAATCTCTACTTTTTGCTGTGTTCTTTTCAAGTCAGTTTCCAAATTTTTGCATTGGGCTATGTTTTGAGTCACCAGACCAATAAAAAATTATGCTTTTTTTATTCATGTTAAATCATTATCTATATCTTCTACTGATTAATCCTCTCCAAATTATTTTCTACCCCACCCAGATTTATAGGAGAGCATATAGAGTGGAATACCTTTCTTATGTCCAGTCTTGGGTAGCAATAGCATTCCCAGTATAGAAGATGAAATAGATATGTGAGAAAGGGTTGCAACAAGATGATGCTGATAGAGAGATGGGGCTGGACTGGGATGTCTTTCAACCTAACCCATCTAGGTACCAATCTCAAGGGTGAAAAATCCAACAATTATCCCAGGTTGGCAATGACGATGTATCAACTGAGCCTTAGAATCATAGAATCATGAAGTTGGAAGAGACCTCGTGGGCCATCTAGTCCAACCCCATTCTGCCAAGAAACAGGAAAATCGCATTAAAAGCACCCTTGACAGATGGCCATCCAGCCTCTATTTAAAAGCCTTTAAAGAAGGAGCCTCCACCACACCCCAGGACAGAGAGTTTCACTGCTGAACAGCTCTCATCATGAGGAAGTTCTTCCTAATGTTCAGGTGGAATCTCCTTTCCTGTAATTTGAAGCCATTATTTTGTGTCCTGGTCTCCAGGTCAGCTGAAAACAAGCTTGCTCCCTCCTCCCTATGACTTCCCCTCACATATTTATACATGGCAATCATGTATCCTCTCAGTTTCTCTTCTGCAGGCTAAACATGCCCAGCTCTTTATGCTGATCCTCATAGGGCTTGTTCTCCAGACCCATGAACATTTTAGTTGCCCTCCTCTGGACACATTTCAGCTTGTCAACATCTCCCTTAAATTGCAGTGCCCAGAATTGGACAGAGCATTCCTTTTGTAACCCGAAACCCATCCAGATATGTGGAATGTGTAAATCCACATCACTTTCAAATTTCATTATTCTCTAGGGAGGATGAGAGCTAGAGTCCAACACATCCAATCCGGAGAGGATCTGGTACAACATCTAGAACTGGTGAGAAAAAGACAAGGGAAAGACTCATGATTAAAGATTTATTTCCCTTACTTATCATTTCAAATATAGCAATGATTATGCATCAACCTTCTGTAACCTGAAACCTATCCAGATATGTG